GGTGTGGAGAGCTGGCAGACAGGTGATCCTGGAGGCAGAGAGGCAAGCAAACAAGCCAGCAAGCTGTTAGATAAACTGACTAACCAGAGTTTTCACTGAGCTGTAGTAAGGCTCATAGACAGCACAGGGCTCTCACAGTGCTGAAGTGTTGAGCTTGTTAGTGTGAATATTTTTAATTTAAAGCCGGAGTAACAGTAGTTTTATTATATATTAGTATATATTATATAAGTATATTCAAGAGTGTATTTAGTATTCCACATAAACACATTAAATATAAACACAGTGAGGCTGTAAGGGTAGGGGTTTCTGTGTGTGCGGTGGTTGAACTTGAATGTCACCGACCTCCTCTGGAGTCTCATTTAGCCACTTGTTTTTTTAAGACATGCAAAAGCTTAAAAACTCAGGGGGTATGAAATCATACCTCTGAATATTATATTCCATTTTTGACAACAGATCCTCCTAAATGTTACACACTGGAGCTTTAATGGTTGAAATGGCTAAATTAAACTTTACAAAAAACACTATAGTATAACTTTAAAGAATTACTATATTAAAAATGGCTATAGTAATTCTATGGTTTTTTGGAACTCACTATAGAAAATTACTATATTAATACTATTGAATTGGCTACGGTGATCTTATAGTGAAGTTATATTTACACTAAAGTGTTTATGTAATATCACTATTGTCGTTGCTGTAGTATTTCTATGGTTTTTAGGGAATTACTAATAGTTATACTATTTTTTTTTAAATAGTATTACTGTAGTTTGTTCTATAGTCTTTCTATGGTTTTCCAGACATACATTTACTGAAACATTATCATAATATTACTATAGGAATGTTCTATAGTATGTTAAAAAAAACAACACTATATAATACTAGTAATACTATTTAAAATAGTATGGGAGAACTACAAAGATCTAAAAACATAGTATTAATAATTAACTATTATAGCGCTGCTATAGCTAATTAAACAACACTAATGAAAAAAAAATACTATAAGACGCTACAAAGCTAATATAGGACATTCTACAATTCTTATAGTATACTAATACTATAGTTCATTTTCATAAGACAACTTTAACATCTATTTTTCTTGGCATTTTCCCCTGAAGTGGAGAGGTGATGGTGAGGAGGCAGACAGGACAGAGAAAGAGGGGTATGACATGCAACATAGGTTTCCCAGCTGGAAAGTGATACCCATTCACCCGTGGGAAACTGAAGTTTCTCCTCTGCCTCTGGGACGTTTACAATCTTGTTATTGTGCTTTGCTGTGCAGACAGCGTCACTGTTAGAGTGACATGAAGGACATTCACAAGTGCATGTTGTACTTGCAGAAGATGTGTGTCAAATGTTTGCTGTCTGTTCTGTTACTGTATGTATCTTCTGATATAGCTATCTGTTTCACGTCAGTGTTATCCTACGAAGATAGCGATAGCAGGGTATAAAAGGGATGGGAGCTCAATTCATTAACTAGGTGAGCCTTTCCTCCCTTGCTTCCCTACACAGACCTCCAGAGAGATCCATACTCCATCCACCTACAAGCATGCTGTGTGGAAATGTCGGCTGGGTTGCTGGGCTGCTCTGTGCTTGTGCTGTGATGTTAGGACCTATGGGCCAACCTGTGGACAACATGGAGGTGGGAGAGGTGTTAAGGGGAGAGAATATGACAACTCCTGCACGCAACAACTGGAATGAGTCAACATTCGCTGCCAAGGTGAGGGAATGAATGATAAGTTGCAGTCCAGTGTTCTTCTGTGTTCAGCCCACTGAAGTGTTTATTATGTGGGTCCTCAACTGAAACACTGCCAAAGCCCTTCTGGAAACAAGCCAAATATTCTGTATAATATTATATTTAATATGATCTAATATAATCTTGTATTGAGCCAAACAACCTGCCAGTGTGGTAACCCAGTTTGGCTTGGCTAGAAACTTAAACCTAGCATAAAAATCCAGCCACTGTAATGGGCCATAAAACTAGAAAAGGGTCAAGAATTTAAGCAGAATTAAGTTGTGCTTATTACAAGCAGGGAAATCTCAGTTGTTTAAGATCGATAAGTATTTTGGTCACTTTATTGAGCTGGATTTAAGTATTTGTACCTTAATCTAAAAGCAGCTTACAATAAAATACACTTTCACAATTTAACAGCATAATAAAAATTATTAATTATTAATTAAAAAGTTATTTTGTCTTAAATGAAGGCACCAGAGGCAGAAATTTTATATATTTCAGATTACTTTTCTAATGCAAAAAATGCTTAACAAGATTATTTTTCTTTTTTTAGACAAAATATAAGACTAATATTCCAGAAACAAGGCTTTTCTACTTGCGATTCCCTTTTTACAGTAAATAGATCTTATGAGTCCTGGTGCTGTTAGGAAATTAATAATTTAGAGTATTTATTTTATGTTTAGTTTGTTTTCATGACCTAAGACTCTACAAAAACAGCTTCTTGTGTGTTGGCATTACTCGCTGCTTGGGAGCCAAGCACATTTTAAACTATTCAGGTTAGTTTTCAGGGGACCCTTTAATGATGTATGACATTTATCAGGAAAAAAAACTGGAGAAAGTAAAATTGACATTAAAAGGTTGCACACACATCTAATAACTAAATATGTTTTTCATGTTTGTATGTCAAAATGTATATATGAAACAGAGGAACTCGGTGTATGACAGTGTAAATGTTTAATTGAGTATACATTTTTCAACAGGACCGTTTACAAAGAAGATGCAAATGTCCTTTAAAGTATAATACGTACCTCATTGTATAGGTTTAATATCATGGTAAAAAATGATTGTCTGTCATTTTAATGGTGCCTCTGCTGTATGGACACATTATAATACTACTCTGTGTGTGTTGCAGAATTATGTGCGTCAGTCCTTTTTGTTGTCTGCTGCGGAGCAGGAGTTTGTCCTGAAGAGGAAACAAATAGCAATGAAGTCACTCAACAACCTGGGAATCACTTTAACACTGGTACGACTGAGGAAACTCAGCTTTCTTTATCATTCTGTCTCCCTTTCTCACAGCCTTTCTACATTTATATATGCACATATGCCTGTTTTGAGAATGTTAAACATTACTATATCAGTTTTTATAAAAGTAGACAGACTGTGAATTGTGTTTTGTAGCCTTTTAACATCAATTAATTTCAGTATTGTAATTTTGAAATAAGACTATAGAGTCTACAGCCATGTTAGTGGTTTTGTGAGGCTCTACTTCAGCACAGCGGTGCTTTGACCTAAATACCATACCATGTTCAGCATCTTCAATTAGCAGGTTAGCATGCTAACATTTTATAAAAATAAAAATATATTTCATGTAGGGACTACAACTTGCATTTTGTTGTGCAGCCTAGTGTTATAAAATAATAAATAAAAGAACCTAGCACAAAGAATGAAAAAAGACATTATGACCTGACTGTGGCACTAGCTTAAAATTCACCCTGTAGGCATTATAAATGAAAACATTTCACAGCAATCCTTCCAAACTTGGTTATCATTGAATTAACCTTGATTTGGTAATGTTCCGGCATAACTAATAACAACAGCTGTTCAGGTTAACTTCAAGTAGGTTTGGGGTTAATAATGCTTTGGTCAAGAATAAGCAAGGGCCTTTGGCCTCTGCCACAACTACAGTGAAATCCACACGGACGCAGCAGTAACGCAAAGCAGCATCCTTGTTGACTCTGGTATCAACAGTATTTCTGGAAAACAGTTTCTGCCCCTCTAATGGCAGAAACTGTTTTAAGATTGGTATTTTTTTCCCATTCATATGTCTCCCCCTTTTTTTCCACTCCAGAACTCAGTTCCTCACATCGCACTCTTGGGGTCAGGTGGGGGTCAGAGGTCAGCCTTGAGTCTGGTGGGTTCCCTCTATCAGATGGAAAAGGAAGGCCTGTTGGACACTGTGCTCTACCTGGGAGGAGTTTCTGGCTCTGCCTGGTAAACACTTACACACACAGTCACACTTAATCGATTTATATGTACACTGCATTACATGGAAAATCGGAAAAATCTGTTTACCCTAACTTGATCCAGCCTTTGTATGAGACCTCTTTGTGGTTCACTGAGGCACTGTGCCTAATATGAATAATAATAATAATACATTTTATTTATCAGCACTTTCAATAAACTCAAAGACACTTTAAAGATGCTGGTTTGAATCTGAGTTTAAATTTACTTACTAGCAGTATAACTGATATATGCCATGTGGACACTCAAATTTCAGTTGCCCTTCTCTGCTCTGTAGTTTAACCTCGTCTCACTGAAATTTTTATTTTATTTATTAAATTAAATTTTGCTTTATCGCCATGCAAATTACAAATACATCATTGCCAAAGCAGGTTGTATGCTGTTTACACAGTAACTATTATAATTTAGAATGTAAAGGAAAAAAGACAAAAGGTTTGCACATTACTACACATTATATAACATTCACTTTTCCACACTACAACTATTCTACAAAGTAGTGAGAGAAAGACAAATAATGGCGAACAAATAACTGACAGTTGGACAATTAGGTGTTGTGTTAATGATTAAAACCATCTGAAAAAGAGATCAGAAACAATCACACCTTGTGGAAGCGGGGTCATCCTTATGTTCCCCAGGTCCACTAAGGTTAGGGTTAGGGTTAGG